CGACGACGAGCTCGAGGGGGTCCACTATCCAGGGCTTCGTTGAAGGGGTCTTCAGAGGAGAGGAGGGAGCCGAGGCGGCGGAGGAGAATGGTTTTGAGGAGGGAGGGGAGAGGGGGAGGTCGTGTTCTTACTGCACCCAGGTACTTCTAGTCCGTTTATTTCTTGCGTTTTTTTTTTGAGTGCAGCTATGAGGCGAGGGCGGCGTCGACGACAAGCTCGAGGGTGTAAACTGACCGCACCGAACCAAACTGTATTAGTTCGGTTTGGTTTGGTTGTCTTGAGATCGTTGGTGCTGTTTGGTTGTCAATTTTTTTGTTGAAACCGACCGAACCGACCGAATGCTCACCCCTAATTAACACGTTAAGTGAGAACTATAATACATAAATTGATAACTATAATACGTAAATTGATAACTATAATACGTAACATGTTAAATGAGAACTATATTAACGTATTATAGTTAATATAATCTATTAACACGTAAATATAGTTATCAATTTAGCAATTAAGGTTAACATAGTTCTCATTTAACGTGTAAACGGATTGTGTTAACATGTTAATATAGTTCTCATTTAACGTGTTAACTATAAATATGTTAACATGTTAACTATAAATATGTTAACATGTTAACTATAAATATGTTAACATGTTAACTATAACACGTTAATATAGTTCTCATTTAATGTGTTAACATGTTAACTATAACACGTTAATATAGTTCATTTACGTATTATAGTTATCAATTTACGTATTATAGTTCTCATTTAACGTGTTAACGGATTATGTTAACATGCTACGTATTATAGTTAATATGTTAAATGAGAACTATATTAACGTGTATATGACTCGAAATAACAGTTAACAGATAATTGATTACAAATAACAGTTAACGGTAAATGACAGTTAACGGATAATGGATTACAAATAACAAGTAGCAGATTATAAATAACAGTTAACGGATAATAGATTATAGTTAACAGTTTACAAATAACGGTTAACAGATAATTCATTATAGTTAACAGTTTATAAATAACAGTTAACAGATAATGATTAATAGTTAACAGGATAAGGATGTTAGTTAACAAATTACAAATAATAATTAACATATAATGGATTATAGTTAACAGTTTACTAAATATAGTTATTAATTTACCAATTAAGGTTAACATGTATTATACTTAACATGTTAAATGAGAACGTTCACACATAAGAGTCATATAGAACCGATGCATTTTGTTCAACATGAACATAGCTGCATGGATTTGTCTCTTTTACCATGCGCTCATACCTAGAAAAGTAACAAGCAATCATCCAAAGTTAACATGTTATTTGTATAACTTAACAAGCGAACTGCGAAAGTTAATATGTTATTAGTGTAACTTAACAAGCGATCAAAGAAAGTTAACATGTTTCCGATTACATAACAGATAATGATTAATAGTTAACAATTTTACTCAATCAAACACTTGATGGTAACAAAAGTCGACTTCAAGTAACTGAATTGCTACATCCCCAAACACCTTGCACAAAACGTATGACGAACAGCAAAACACAATTAATTTGATAATTGCATATTTTACTCAACCAAAAACCTCCCATAAATCCAATAAACAACAAGAGTTCACCAAATCAGCGCAAATGATAAAAGAGTCTCATCCATTCATCCAAACCTCTTGAAATTCGAAAAAATGATCTAATTAACGATAATTTTTCCCACCATTCCAGCTCCCTAGTGAGGGGAGCAGTAGAAGCTGTAGGACCCTTTCTCCTTCAGCGTCACCTTGTAGGTCTCGTCGGGGCCATTCAGCAGGTCCTCCTCGCTTATCGAGATCGCCCCCACGTCGACCCCCGACTGGATCTCATCCACATTGAACACCACGTTGTGGGAGAACCCGGCATTGTTCTTGAACACGATCTCCTCACCCGGGGCGATGCTCAGCTGGCTCAGCACGAACGTCCGCGACCCGTCACCACCGAGGAGGACCTCGACGGCGAGCGCGCTGCTGGCGAGCACCGTAATTTTTTCTGGCGTTTGGGGGCTTGAGGGGGCTAGGGTTGGAGGGGGCTGGGGTTGGAGGGAAGAGGATTGAAGAAGAAGTGGGGAGGGGTAAAGTTGGACTTTTGGGTGAAAAAAAAACATATAAAAGTGGGCTAATTATGAGCTAGAGGGGCTAGGGCATAATTTTTTTGAAATTTGGGGATTGTAGTACATTACAAATAATATGAGGGGCTGGGGCACATTGTTTTTTGGGTTTTGAGGCCTTGAAGCAATTTTTTCAAAAAAAAACAACTCAAATCAACCTCTGTTATTTAACATGTGCACAAAAAGAGTTATGTCAAAAAAACTCAAATCAACCTCTGTTATCTCAGAGAAGAGTAAAGATCACGTGTGACTAAATGACTAAATGGAACTCATTGCAAAAAATTCCTTGTGTACTTTTGAGAATAGTTTTTTGTTTGTACATCCCTGATCTTTTCAATTCTCCATATGTACCCATCAAGTCAATGAATGCAAGGGGTATAGTTACTGTTTTCTACGGTTTTTTTCCCGAGATTTTTAAAAAAAAGATATTTTTGCTAAATAATTAGCAAAACAGACCGTTTTGCTAATTATTTAGAAAAAACAATATTTTTTTGATCTGTTGACCAAAAAGAAGTCATTTTTAAAAAACTACAAATTCGAAACATACGGGACTGCTAGTCCCGTATATTTAGTCGCCACTAAGTGGGAGCTAATACGATGTGAAAAACCTACGGGACTACTAGTCCCGTAGGTTTTGGGGATTCTCCACATGTTGTAGCTCATGGTTGATAGTCTCCTTTGTTATCCTTTGGTGGGGCCCTCGTGAGCCATGTGAACTCTTCTCCTTCTATCACTCTTCTTCTCTGCTCTATCAACGGAGAGCAAGTGAAGAGAAGAAAAACTGCAAAGTCTCGTAGAGATAAGGTGAAGTGCAATCCTCGCCGACGATCAGCTCGGAGACACCGTGGACTCCAACGATGATGTTGAAGCAGTAATAGATGATTGCGGGGAGTCTGGAACACTAGAGATAGAAGGTGGCGGCAACGACCAAGCAAGACGATGGCTTCTCTGCTCGCTATTGATTCATAGCGACAGTTTACACCGATGACAACTGAAGCTGTTTGCGCCGAGAGGACAACTTAGGGCATGAAGTTTGTGGCCGGCGCGGCGCGAATCGATGATGGTTGAGGCTGCTTGCAACGGCGCCTCAAGTCAACGAAATTGCTATTAAGCCAATCTGAGCACACTTTGATTCTTGATTTAGATTGTATAATTTGATTCTTGATTTAGAATGTATAAAGGAATAGGAAGAGAGTCTTCCATTACCACTCTTTTTCATATTGGCAAAGCCTATCTGTACAGAAAAAACTTTTTCTCTAGTAAAATGGTTGTGTAACGTTCTTTTTCTCTTTTCAAGATTAATTTTTTATTTTATTTTTTTACAAATTTACAAGTAACCAAACTTGCAAAAACCTCAAACTGAGTTCTATTATAAACAAATGTAACAAACTTTGCCAAGGGTCTCTTTGCGTTATTATAAAAGACTGAATTAAACAATGTAAAATTTGCAGAAATGAAACTCCAAACATAAACAACATAAAATTTGCAGACAATAACTATACATAAAAAGTCCAATTTTTTGAAGAAAAAAAAGAGCACAGCATAACAAATGCATGATATTCATTGTTCTTAAAATAATAATCACATTAAAATCAGAGAGTTTGACAACTATGTCTGCAGACAAGGCAAAAACAACGGGTTTTATCAATGGAAATACCACGTTCTATGATTCCACCGTTCTGTTTCCAGCAACATGTTTTTGGCTCATCGCAACGATATGGGCACCCTGCAATTTATGAACACAAAGACAAGGGGTTAAATTGAATTTGTTCAATCAATTAGTTTGTGTTTTCCATTTTATTGAATTATGTAAATTTTCTTTTTTTCTAACTTTTCCCCTCTTCTTGAGGTCTATAAATAAAGTGTTTACAGAAACGTTGTAGGTTTTAGATAGGGAAAATTTGTAAAATAGTCTGTTTTTGCTAATTATTTAGCAAAATAGACCTCTTTTTGGCCAACAGGCCAAAAAGAGGTCTATTTTGCAAAACAGCTTAGAAAATATACGGGACTAGTAGTCCCGTTAATCACGGATTAGTGAACTCAGAAAATTTCACAAAACATTGAGATGAACTCAGAAAACATACGGGACTACTAGTCCCGTATGTTTTCTGAGTCACTAATCCGTAATTAAGTTAGCTCTAAACATACGAGACTAGTAGTCACGTATGTTTTCTGAGTCTTGTTTTTTAAAATCGACATTTTTTTTAAAAAGAGGTCTATTTTGCTAATTATTTAACAAAACGGTCTATTTTTGCTAAATAATTAGCAAAAACGGACTATTTTGTAAATTTTCCCTTTTAGATACTGTAACTCCAGTGCATTTATACAATAAAGGACAGAAGATCAAATTAGCTATAAGTCCTTATTGCAAAATTGATTGTAATCAACAAACTATAAAAGGACAACTATTACAACAAAACAAAATGTTATAAATGCAAATTTTAAAAACTGTAATTAAAGTGTAAAAACATGTGAAAGACGCAGTTTCCAAATCTTTCAGCACAAAGGAGAAGAATAAACTAAACATCATATATATTGAAGGATTAACTGCATATACATCTCCTTTAGGTGTGCAGTTATTTATAGCTCCTAAATTATTTTATTATCCCATACATCTGTTCAACATCAAACAACATTAATTAATTCTCTACGTTTGTGGAGATGGCATATGAGAACATTATGAAGATAAATTACATAAAAGTAACATTGCCTGAAGTTAAAGTAGATGAGGACTTTAAAAAAACAATTTAAATGATATAAAATTTCTCCAATAAAATCTCATGTAGACAGTCACTTACATGCAATGGGAACATTGAGCTTGGCCTTGTAATCCTCCATCATATAAGCTTGTTTGTCTTCCACTCTCTCAACTGATGACAGTGACGATGGACATCGCTCCGACGCCGGTGAAGACTGCAGGCATTTACCAGAGAGGCAAGGCCCCGGCCCTGGATCTGGCAGTTTTGTACAAGGTGTTCTTGAAGAAACAACAAGTTTTGAAAATAAAGCAAAGACGTAAAAGAGAAGGAAAATCATAGAAGAGCTCTTCATGGCTTCTTATGAGATCAGTATGTGAGATGCAATATAATAAAGGAACCTTTTCCAAATGGAAAGAATATATTTATTAGTTTTTCTCAGGCAATATTTTGTTCATTTATTATTTCATTCATATTGTATGTAAGATATACAAATAATTAGTGGGGTTTATACGGTTCACGCAAATAGTGTGCAGCGGTAGGAATTATCCTCCTTTATTTAGGAAGATAATGATTTCTTCACTTTTACTTGTATTTATATTACTTGGGACGTCATTGAAGTTAGGACGTCCCATTGAAATTAGGACAAGACATCGCTAAAAGGGTTAGGGGGTGTTTGTTTTGCTTTTTTTTTGGGATATGATAGTTTTGGGATGTAAAAAGTGCTTTTTTTGTGGTTTTAAAAATCCATAACTTTGTTTGTTTCACTTTTTTTTTGGGATATTGAATCCCTAATTTGTAGCTTGAACTCTTACCAACGGTAATTCTTCATTGGGGTTTATAGCCCAATTGCGAGGAAGTATAATTTCTCTGATAACACATTTGCTAAATCCAGGAGGAACAGAATGATTTTCTGTAGTCCAAAAATGAGTTATTTCCATTCCTTTTTGACTTAATAAAGTCCTTATCCAAGCTCTTGATTTTAGAGAAAGAGTAGGATAGTAAGTGTCGTGAAGATATCTTTGCCGAATTGTTTCTGGTTCTTGCATTAAAGCAATATCTTCGGGTTCTAAATATAGAACTATATCTGTATGAGATTTTTCGAACCATTTAGTTTCCTCTTTTACTATATTAGTAAAAGGTTCAGGAGTATTTTCCTGATCTACGATATCTCGTACACCTTTATAAAAGGATTTAGTATAAGAAGAGTTATGCTTCTTTGCAATAGTTCGCCAAGATGTTGGCTGTTGAGATGGAGTATGACTCCTATTTGGTATTGATTCTTGACCTATGAGGTCAAAAGTAGAATTTGAGCTGCTGCTTCCGCCTCCTCTCCCCCTCCCTGAAAAGGAGGGATTACTCCGTCTCATTTGTACCCTGTAAAAATTCACGAGTTAGAAAATCTGGAAGATGATTAGAGTCACCTTTAATATATTCAATTTTGAATTGATACATTGCTAATTCAGCTTGCCATCTAGCAAATATTTGCTTAGAGACAAGATTTTTAACATCTTTTTCAATAATGCTTTTAGCAGAACTACAATCTATACGTAGTAAAAATTCTTGATTAAGAATATCGTCTCTAAATTTAGAGAAACATTTTAAAATAGATAACATTTCCTTTTTAATTGTAGAATAGTTAAACTGGGCTTTATCCCATTTACCAGAGGTAAAACGAACTAATTGTTCTTTTTTAGTTTGGGGATCAACTTGTTTTAAGATTCCACCATAACCAATATTGGAAGCATCTGTTTCAACTATTTTGAACCAGTGAATATTTGCAAGATGAATACAAGGTAAATTTTTAACTTTAAGTTTAATTTTTCTTACCGCAGCAGTATGTTGCTGTGTCCAAGGCTTAGCATTCTTTTTAAGCCTATCATATAAAAGAACAGTATCTTTGGCTAAAATAATATAATATATATATATATATATATATAATATAAATTATATAAATTATATAAAATAATATATAATTTATATATTACAATATATATTATATATTATATATAAAATATATAATATATCTATAATATTATATATATATATATTATATATTATATAATATATGTTATTAAAATTTTATATAATATTATAATATATAATTTATAGTATTCCAAATCCCAAAATATTGATGAAACAAACAAAATATTACAAGTTTTAGCATTCCAAATCCCAAAATATTGTTGAAGCAAACACAACCCCCTTTATGGATTTCAAATCCTAAAAGCCACATCATTTATGGATTTCAAATCCCATTTTGAAATCCCAAAAAAAAAATCAAAACAAACACCCCCTAATAGAATCCAGATATAATGCTTGACCCAAGGCAGTTACTGAAAACATCCTAGTATAGACGCGCATGTTTCACTTGTGTTGGTCAAAATATCGATTTGAAATCATGATATGCAAGAATAATTCATTAACTAAGTCAACATAAGATCGTGCCGTGAGAGTTACAATTTTCCTCCTTTTTTTTCACTTCTTTAAAATTGGGGAAAAAAAAAAGTTTAATGGTTAACAAGAGACCGAGCCCAGTTACAAGGCTTCTGATTGCATTGATCAGTTTCACGCATTTGTAAAGCTCCCCTCAAGAATATAAATAAAGCTAGGAATATACAATTTCACAGACCCAATACAACCTGAAAGAATATAATAGCAATCTAAAAAGAAGCATAAATAAAGATTAATAATACACAGTTATCATCTAAACGTGCAATCAAAAAAAGCAGTTGATGGAGCTGTTACTAATGATAATGATCAAAACTCAGCAGGTAAAAATTCCATGAAGAAAGCCAGAGGGTTTTCCTGGTTAAACAATGGCTCTCGCCGTCTACGAAGATCCCTACCATCGGTAATAATTGTTCACAAAATTATACGGTAATACTTTGATTAAACCGTGATTTCTGTAGGATACTAGCATAGTACTGAGTAAATGAAGCGTTGGCAACATTCTTCTCCAGCTGCAATTATATACAAATCGAAGAATAAATAAATAAAGCAAATGATGTGTTAATGACGAAAAAATGAATAAATAAATAAAGTTCCCACAGCTTGGAAGAAGGAAAAAAAAAGAGCAGGAAATGAAAAGCAAACCTGGAGGAAGGATTGGACAGATTCATGGTCCTTGGGTGAAAACCCAACCTCATCTCTTTTTCTCCTAATCAATTCAATGTTTTGCTCTACCTGGATGCAAAGGACTAATTTGTCAAGAAAAAAAAAAGGAAAAAGAAATGGCAAAAGAAGTTTTAGATTCCTTCATCATTCAAGTAAAATTTAAAAAATACCGTGAACTATTCTTATCAGACAAAACATAAAACTTCTAAATCTGTCAGAAATTTAATATTTCCCAGCTAGGCAGCTAGTTAGAAGATGAGAGAGTAGTAACACGATGTAAACAATGGGGGAAAAAGTTAAAAAAGTCCAACTAAAACTAACCCTCCGGGTGTTTTCTGTAATGGAGACAGTATATGGGATTTCTGTGCGAAATCCCTAATTTAATGAAATTCACCCTTCTTTTTTCCTCTTTAATTGATGAGACCGAGATGCTTGAGTTCTACAATTTTGTTTTCACATGCATGTTGCCCTCAAAAAAACAAATATATACATTTTATTTACAGAAATTGAGTAATATTGGATATGAGAAAACTTATAAAAGAATAAATATCTTAAGGTTCTATCCTCCCGAAAACTTCAAATTTAAGGTTTAAGGGTTCAAATGCAATCTCATCGACTTTTTCTGTCTAAAATTGAGACCTTTTGGGAACTTTTAGAATGTCACCTGATCTATAAATCTCTTAACTGAGCGTCGAAGACTTTCGAGCGTAGTCTTTTCGTGGAACCTTTTCATGAGTATGAGAGGTATAGTTGCCACTTCAGGAAAAGATATGTGATAGCTCCAGTGGGAAAAATGCGCTAAAAGAAGCTCTATTGCAGAATGAATGCACTCCTCTTGGAAGCCCCTTGATTTTAAAAACTGTTTTGGGACCTGCATAATCCAATACGAAGCTACTGATTAAATCTAAAGAAAGAATGTAAATGCTGAAGAGGAAGAAGTATTATATTCTGAGATAAGAATTGTAGGTTTTATTGGTGTTAGTAGTGCAGAACTAAATACAGTTAGATTTTATTGGATCATAACCCCATTAGTTCAAAAAATGCTGTATGGAAAGCCTGGGGTTAGTTGCACATAGACCCCCTCATGTAGTGTGACATTTTTGAACTTATTACCCTTGTAGTTCCATTTTTGTAGCCTACGTGAATTTTTTTTTTTTTTTTACTCTTTTACCTTTGCAAGTAAAAAACAATTTGACTCGGTGTAAAAACACATGGACAGGAACTGAGGATAAAAGAGTCAAGAAAAATTCACAAGGGGTCTATTTACCAAAATGAAGCTGGAAGGGAAATTAAAAATGATATACTCCAGGAGGTCCATGTGCATTTAACCTTAGAAAATTTTTATCACATAAATACATCATGGAGAAAGACATGTCAGTAGGATAATAAGGAAAAACATAACAGCTCCAGTTCTACAAAGGATATTTCAATGGAAAATTTTGTGAACATGAAGTTAACTAAAAATGATGGGAAGATTAGCATTTAGTACAGATAAATAAGCACAGTACCAATAAAATCCAAAACAGATCTGGGAAAAAAAATTCTTCCCAACCTTTAAAACTGATAGAAGATCCAGAGGCTTCCCACGTGCAGTATCTCCATTACCGCCTCCTTTATATTCCAGACAGTCAAATACCAAGGATGCTATAGGAATAAAAAGTCCACTGGCAGAAGATAGATTATTGAGCATATGAACGCACTTTAGTCTCAAAGGTAGGTGTCGTGGACCGGGAAACAAGTAAGCCATCCCATTTATGATCTCGATAAGCAAAGCACTCAGTGGCTGAAGATCATGGTCCTTGATGTTCAAAGTGATAAATTTAACCCAAAGGTTTGCACAGTTTAAGAACTGCCAATTGCATATCTTCTTGAGTTCTTCCTACAACCATAAATAGTAAACAACAAACCTGTCAAAATGAACATCTATTGACATATGAAGCTTGACATCAAAAAATTTATTATACTGAGTATGCCATCAAGCAACATAATAAAGGGTTCATTGTGGATATTCCCATTGTACTATAGCCCAATTGCGAATAGACCCCCTGTAGTTCTATTGTTGCAAATAGCCCCTTGAGTGAATTTCTTTAACTATTTTATCCTCACGAAGAGAAATTTGTCTTTTGATAGATAGACCTCCCGAGGGTCAAAGAGTCAAAAAAATCCACTCAGGGTTCTATCTGCAACAATAGAACTACAGGGGGTCTATTTGCAATTGGGAGATAGTACAAGTCCGTCATTAACCCCAAAAGAAATACAATCAAGAAGAGTGACATAAAACGCATACTAAATGTTGGTAACTTCTACCTTTTTCTTTGATTTAAGAGTCTGTCGCAAGATATTAGCGAGGTGCTGTAAAGAGAGAAGCACTTTCGGATAGGACTTTTGAATGTCTAGAGAATAAAGTTCCACAATGGAGTTCGTCAGAAACTCGAGATGCTTCAAATTTGTAGTCTGAGCAAATTTGCAATGTGCCACAAATGCTTTATATGTTTGGGACAAGCACTTGTCAAGGCAGTCAGAGCCTAATTGCAAAGAAATGTCTCGGATCATAAGGAATGAAGATAATGACAGGCTCTCCTCACCAGTCCCCAAAAGATGAACCAAAATCTGCATTCACGTGTAAAAGACTATTTGAGTACAAGTAAAACACTAGATTAAAATATTCTACTTATAGCTGAAGCGATAGGAAAATATTTAGGATTCAGTTCCCAGGATGGTCATCGCAAGTTTTATAGAGGTAAGGAAAAGCTTTAGTTAAAAAAGCTAACAGCACAGTAAACTTGAGGATAATGAGAATGGCCAATGATAATTCTGCTCAAAGACAACGTCATAACTCCAGCACCTTTTGGGATTTGACAAGACATCAAGAAAATGTGTGTTAATCACAATGTTCTTCTAGGTGATACGAACTTTTTACTACCTATCTCAGAATGGACCAAACTTGATTCAGGAAAGTAGATAGCACAATTTTCAAAGTTCAACACCAATAATTACCTACAGGAAACTGAGTTTTGACATGTGAAAAAAAATTAATGAGTTCTTGAGAGGGAACAGTAACTAACATTAGAGGGAGAGAAGGTATGGATAGAAATCGAGACATTCAATGGATAGAAATCGAGACATTCAATGGATAGAAATCGAGACATTCATTAAACCTTCCTACAATTTAATTTGTTCATGTCTCTCATATGAGCTTTCTTCTAGTGTTCAAAGAGGCTAGGAATAAAAAAATTACGATAATTCAAGTACTGCAGAAATGCAACTTTCAGTTGCTCAAAAGTAACTTTCTAAATTAAATACGAAGTATACAGTACCTTGATGAGTCTCCCTGTTAAAGAAGGGAAAGCAGCAAAAAATACAGTGGAAGCTTTGAGTCGAGTCAACACGAGAACAAGTATCTGACCATCAGTAACTTGATTCAAAAGAAGCAGACAACTCCTGAGATAAGATTTCAACAGTGGCCCAGCAGTTTCCCACATTGATGTATTCTTCAGCTTTTGAATTCTTTCATGGTTGCAGAAATCTGAAATTCCTAATAGCCTACGGAATATACCATCAGATTCATTGAGAACAAATGTCAAAATCTTCGAGAATACTTCCTTATTTGAAATTCTTAGCGGGCATTCATCTGAATCAATCCCATATTGACATGCAGTTCGGAAGCCATTAAGTAGGTTGGATAGTGCAGGCCCGTTTGGCTCCTCCATAACCAACCAGCACCATACATCAATAGTACAAGTTGTGAGCGTTTTCTTATCAGATTGATGCTCACTAACATCATCTTTATTTGGAAACTTCGTGCCATCTTCTTCGTCAGAATACTGCCATGTTAAATATTTTCGCCACAGGATTTAGTATGATGCTAGAAAATTCATGAACAAAAAAAAATTAATGCGAAATAGATTGGAAGTGTAACATATTATCGCCTTAGCAAATATTAAATAAAATAGAACAAAAGATCATACATCTAAGTCATATGACCTTTATTTTCTAAAAATTTTCTATACAATCTTGTCTCTGTGAGTGTGCACGTACATAAAATTAAATAAAGCCTCAATTAGGATCTATATTGCATGGGCACCGGTACAGGTACGGGTGCAAGTAGCGGTACGGGACACAACAAATTTGTAAAAGGTAGGGTATGTGGACACGACTATATAAATATGTATATACACATATATTATATATTGGAATCAATAATTTATATGAGACCAAGGATGATAACTATAATTCCTATAACAAATTTGTGTTTCTTTTATTATGTTGATTATAAATTGAAAAAGCACTAGTTTTTGAACTAGACATCCAAACGACCAATCAAAATCATAACAAGCTGACCTATGTCCAATAATTTTCAAGAAGTGGATGTGAATGGTAGGATAAATGTCCAAAAAATATATGACAAGTGTTTTAAATTAAAACGTGTTGTACAATTGAGTACATGCCCGAATGAATCTATGTATATATGCAAGGAGTGTCCAAGCTGTTTGGGTACAGGTACGTGTCGTGTACGGGTACGGCTTCATATTAGGCGTACCCAAGTAACATAGATTAGGATCAGTAGCAAAATAATAGATAAAAACTTAAATGATACTAGGACATGTAGAAAAATCTAGAGAAATATGATAAAGAAGGAAAACTGAATAAGTTATGTAAAACCGGGCTCTGGTACTCAAACATGAATCCAAGCCACAAAAAGATGTGAATCATATTATTTATTTGAAATTTGCTCCGAAAATCTTAGAGAAAAGAGAATCCTTTAGCTAGAAACTATAGATCCTTATAAACTATATTATACCAAGAGATTTCTAATCTTTAAGTACAGCATCACAAATAAGATCAGTCTGATCATATATAAGGACATGAATTTTTTTGTAAAGAACTCATGCAGCTAGTCATCTAGGTTCTACCTTAACAAGACAGAAATCTAGAATGTCGCAAAGAGAGCAAGGATGGTGTCCGACAGAAGGGCAAGCAAAAAAGTGCCTGATGTAGTACATGGTGTTAACTAATTGAATATTACATACTTGGGTGCTTAATTTAAGTTACAAGTTACTAACACCATAAACATATAAGTGTCATTAAAGTCTTACAATATCTTCATGTTTGGATGCCTCCAATTCAGCTCTTCGACTTGCCAGGAACTCCGAAAACTTTGGGTCCTAAAACGTATTTAAATAAAGCTGTTATGTACATGATAATACAGAAAAGTCGGCATAGAAAAAAGACATTTCACGAAGTGCAAAGGCATAATGAATATAAAGTAAAAGCTAGAAGCTATGCAGCTTTCCAAGGGGACAGGACTCTGAGGTCTGAACGAGGATAAAGAATTTATACAAAACAAAGGATGTGCACCTTTTCAAGTAGACAGTCGAGTCTTTTCTTTTGTGCCACAATCTCCATATGAATTTTCTCATTTTCTCCGAGTAAAACAGCATGATTGTCCTCATCTGCATTAATTTTTCTCAAAGGTGTCATTATGGGATGAGATGTTTAAGAAACTAATGACATATGAAAAATATGTGACATGCTAACCTCCGCCCTCATTCTCGTCTTCAAAAATGTATGGACATTCAGAATCCTGTTAGACACCCACAATAGCAAGATAGTTAGAATGTCAGACTTGAAAACACGTACAGAAAGGAGGAGGGACAGGCTGCAGGCTAGTACATGGAGAAATAGATGCAAAAAGTTTAGGGAAAAAATGAGCAAAACATTTTCTTATTTCATCAATGGAATACATACATTATAATTAAAAGCTCTAAGTAAACAGTTTGCTCGTTTTACCAACGATTGGTTGGCCATAATTCATTAAATATAAACCTATCACCAATTAGTAGATTAAATTTATGACATGTGACATGTGAACTATGAATTCAGTCCACAATTATGCGTTGGAGAAAAAAACACAGTAAGACTTTAAACCTTACAAACCTTGGATCCTGCGAACTAATTTCTGAAAAGCATTCACTATTATGTGCAATTGATCCATACATGAAAAAAGTTAGTACTTTCACTTTTGGTGGAAGCAGGAGGCTATGATGGATAATGATACATCAAAAGGAAAAATATATTGATTGAAAAATTGATAGTTGATACATTGGGATGAATATATGGAGTGGTTCATATTTTAAGCAATCACTTGCATGGGTTCTGTTATATAATGTTTACATGGAGAGTTGGCTTAAAGCTCTCATCTTTCCTACTGTAGGCACTGATGAACAATATCCCGAGCCTGAGAAAGAAACCTATTATGGTTTATGTTACCTGCAGATGATGTTCTCAAACTGAAACTTAAGGTGCAATGATTGGAAAAAAAATTAGAAAAGGACAAGGCCATTCATAGTGTTTAAGCTCATGGTAATAATTAGAAAAAGGATTACAAACCTCAGAGAGGAAGCCATCGCTCTCAGAAATATCTTCAAGATAATTGTCATCACCTTCAGCGAATATATCGTCAAGAAATTTACCAGCAGCATTATCATCTATTCTTGTCCCTTCAGAGCTTCTACATGATGAAAGACAAGAAAAAGATGAGTACAATAATGACATGAAGGAACCTAAAGATGGTGCATGCTCAAAAATAATACGAAAATAATAATAATAGCTTAAATCAAAATGATAGGTTGGAAAATAAACTCCAGTACAAAACTGAAAGACACATTCCATAGGGGACAGAATGATTTATAATAGGTAGAAGTTCCATCATATTGATTAATGAGATTTGACTTCTGTATATTAACAAGAAAGCTTTTCCAACTACTTGATTACGTGTCATCAGAATAACAATGGGTTACGAGGTTACGACTTTAAATTATCTGCATGTTGTAGAAATATCAACCAAATCGCAACATTTCCAGGACCAATAGCAGTCTCAAATGTTCAGATCAACCTCAAGAATGAAGAAGGCACTTCATTAATCTAAGGACTAGATCTAATATTCTTCTTTTGTTTGAAGTTATGCAAAATCGTATCATGGAAAGGCATTAAGGGCTATCAGTACTAGTCCACAACTATTGATGTTGCTATAAATTCCACTTTTCCATTCAGTCCTATGTCATATGATCCTTTATTTTCTTGCACCTTGATCCCATCATCATTAGCTTGACGTTTTTCTCCTCTCACTATGCTTACAACATTAAAAGAGAAAGCATAGCTGAATTATGTATCCATTTCCCTCCATATAAATTTTGAAAATTTCAATGCACACTGATTCAATTGATGTTAAATGCACGATTATATTGGCCTATATCATTTCTCTTGTCCTGAAGGACTCACGCTCTAATGGCCATCCGTTAAATTGCACAATTTCAAATAGAGTACAGATATCCCAACAGTAAAAGACAACAACCATCTGACCGAATTATATTACTCTAAAAGCTTGATTTGATTTCAAATCATTGTTATATAGCGACCCTGTAGCTTGATAGTGCCGGCAAAGAGAGCATATTAGCTTTAATCAAAAGGAAGAACTTGAAGATGGAAGAATCCAGTAGGGGGAATGCTCTAAAAATCCCTGACAAGTGTAACCAAAAGCAACGGAATTACTAGATTTGGTTGAAAAGGGCCATTATCAAAAGGAAAGACCACAAACAACTGAGCAAGGCTGGTGTGAGGAACGAAGCTACAACATCATTTGAAGCATCCCATTCATAATGAAAACAAGCGACTGATACCTCGCCTCTTTGCTGGACTGCCTATGTCAACACAGTGGTCACAAAGTCAGGAATCAAGTTGAGTTTAAATCTTTCCATATCAGATGTTTCTAACTCAAATGTTCACTGAAGTATAACGCTAATGAAGGAAGTGGAAGCCGACAAGGTCATAGAGAAAGCACTAGGTAGCCTAGGTACCGGACCAGACAGAGCCTAGGCGGTTTTCCTTTTTTTTTAATTATAATACTTGCTAATAAATGCCAATGTTGTAAAAAGCACTAGCATCTAACACGTAGGAGCCTAAGCGGATTTCTTTCATTGTTTACGTGGTGGAAGAGGACGCTTTGTTGAAGGTCGGAGGAGGTGGAGGTGTTCATAGTTGTTGAGGCTGGAGGATTTCAAAGGAGTTTAGAGGATGTTGGAGGATGTGGAGGATGCAGGGAAAGAAATCAAAAGCGAGACACCAAAGCACAGCAGTATGCGTAAGCAACCCACACTTTGCTAGGAGCTCCCAAGGCCTAGGTGGGCGCCTCAGCAGGCTAGGAGCCCACTTTTTAAAACATTTGAGTGGTTGAGGCCCCTAGGCTTGTAACTAAAACTTAGGGTAGAGAATGCAAGCGAAGCTCATTACCAGCAAAAAATACATATGACAAATATAGAAATCGTAGTGAACGCTACTAACAACATTACATAGATCTCTTTTGGCCCCACCCTTGCTTCAGGATTATCCAACCTAGATCTCTTCCACAATCGGCTCTTCTTACATCTTAATCCAGCAGATATTAATAACTTTAGCTACCCCTAAATTCTGGGTCTCACAATTCTCAAATAACCCAACTTTGCTAGAATTTCTGTTTCATGCTACAGTTAGAAAATTAATCGATGCTCTCAAGCTACTAATAAATTTATCGTCAAATAGCAATCTAAAGCAAAGAGCTCATGTTACTGCTTATCAAAAATGAAGAAGGAGATACCGCCAGAAATTCTTCTACAAATGAAAATGAAGTCAACAACTATGCAAATATTACCAAATGAAAACCTAACAACTTCCACTTATTGAACCAAATTCTTACCCTTTATTTAATTGTTCCCTGATCAGATCACCAGTGTCATGAAGAGCATCTTTGTGACCTACAGCATTTGTAAATTACCATAAAAACAATTAACTCAAGAAAGAAGACGAATTGAACAAAGTGAAAATATTCTTACGAGAAGGGGCTTTTCGCTTAAACGTCGATTTCATCTTCCGCCTTCTCTTGTGAACTGACTGAAGATTTTTCTTCGCGAATTTCCTCGCTTTTTTCCCCAATTTCCCCATCTCTAATATTAGAGATCAAAAGTAAGTAAATAACTCGAGAAATTATACGACTAAAATCTTGAATTTTGGGGAATTTTGTGGGCGCCGACGAGAGAGAGAAGGTTTAGGGTTTTGCCGATGTTTTCACTTCAGATGGGGTTAACGCTTCGTCGCTGTTTTAACGAAGCTTAACATTTGCCCCACTATTTCTCCATATTTTATAGGATGCCCAATTTATTATTTTCATAAAGACCATCTAAGAGCATCTCCAACCCAAAAACCCAAAATGGTGTAGTTTTTACACCAAGTTGGTATAGTTTTTACACCAACTCACTATTCCATCTCCAACAATTACACTAAATTTTACACCAAAAAGAATATTCATTTTATTTACAAACTATAAAATGGGATATAGTTGGAATATTTGATTTGTTATAACAAACTATAAGGGCAAACTTGGGAAAAACCAAAATCTCCATATCTACAGTGCTACGCCAAATCTGGCGCAACACTGTAGCACCTCATCAAAATGGCGCTGAATTTGCAGTCCGGTTGGAGGAAGATTTGGCGCAGTTTTTGCTCCATTTTGGGTTTTTGAAGTTGGGTTGGAGATGCTCTAATGTCACATGATTACTATAACTAACCCCAAACATAAGTATCCGCATTATAATGGACAAATTTTGAAAACAAACCCCTTTGCAAAAATATTCCCCAAAAAAGACTCGTTTCCACTTTATTTTCAAAAAACAACCCAGTTTCAGCCTCAGCGCTGAAACTGGGTCGGGTTTTGGGAAAAAAGTTACCAAACTTCACGGGAGTTCACGGGAGTTGAACTCCCGTGAAGTTTGGGAACTTTTTTCCCAAAAAAAGACCCAGTTTCAGCGTCAGGTCTGAAACTAGGTTGTTTTTTACAAATATTTTCAAAACGGGTCTTTTTTAGGAATATTTTTGCAAAAGGGTTTGTTTTCAAAATTTGCCCGCATTATAATTTTTAATATCAACTACAGTGTTTCTAAAATAAAAACACGATTTAGTGGTAATATTGCTCAGACCTTTGTGCAGGATTCTTACAAATTGGACTCGGATCGATATACGTGTCAGGTTCGGTTGGGTCATAATTGACACGACACATATAAGCTTGACACAATCCTATCCATTTAATAAACATGCCAATGTTATCAGAGCCATTTATTAAATGGGTTACCCGACCCAAGCCGTGTAACATGAATGACCCACTTACCATTACACATACTCACATATCACTAAAAGTTATTGTATTTCTCAAAGATTCTCTCTACATGTATAAAAGATAAAGTGTAATTAAATTAAACTACATGTTTAAGAGACAAAGTATAATCAAATAGGTGAAACATTGGGTATTGAATTGCAAATAACCTAAAATAAATAAAAATTGCTGCAACAAAACAAAGTATGTTACGAATATCAATTCAATTTAAAATACAACCAATAAATTCAATTCATACTAGTTGACTTGCTATTTTATTCAAACTAGATTTTATGCACGTGCAATGCACGTGGTTAAATACTGCGATTAGGTATTTTTGGTTTATTTTCTTACTAAAATTTATTCCTCGGTTACACTTTGATAATTTTTACTCGTATTAATTTAAGTATTTTTGGCTTATTTTCTTATTAAAATTTGTTCCTCGATTACACTTTGATTATTTATTTATTTGATATTTGTTTGAATAGGCTACAGCCAGTTTAAATTTTTATGTTGATAGTTGAATTGTTAGGAGATAAATATAATCTAAAGCCAATTTAAATTTTTATTTTACTTGGATCGATATGAAACCGAGCTTGACCTGAGGAAGTATAGTGTTATGAAAGTGAAAACACTTGAAAAAATTACATTATAAAAAAAAGATGAATAATAAAGCCAACAAGCCAAGATGGTTGTTTTAAAGTGATCTAAAATGACAGAAAATAGTTAATAAAAAAATCATAAACTAAAGATTAATATTAACTCTAGTACACTTTTATATGATAAAAGCATCCACATATGCATATGAAAGCACTAAAAAAAGTTTATGAAAATCTCTTGTAAAGGTTCCTAAATTTTACTAAAAAATTAAACTATTCTATAACAATTCACAAAACATTAGCTTTTATTGCTTCTATTTTATTTTTTTATTGGTCGAGATCAATCCTTCTTCATTTTTATCTTTTTTCTAGGCAATTCTAGAGTAGCGTCTTCATTGTTTACATCGACTGTGATATGAGGCTGGATCATGTTATCTTTCATTGGGCTCATTCATCTTTTGTCTTCTCGTCTAAATTCACAAAGAAGTTGAATATATTTCTTATGTTCAACACAAAATTCTGACAATATGGACTTTGACTTTTTCCTATTCAATTAGAATAAATGTTAATTTCATATATATAAATTTTTTTGTGCTTTTAATTTATTACTTAAATAATGCTAGGAGCTACCTCTTTTTCTCTGTAATAAATTCTTCTGTTGTGCATCCAATAAGAATTTCTAATGTGTCATAATATTACCTTTGCTCTATCTGTGTTATTTTCCATAAGGATCTGAACTAAATACATTATATTTTTCATTATCAATTTGTTTTAGATTATAATATTAATATTTAATTTTAATATATTTATTTCATGAAGAAGAGCTATCACTTAACCTTAGTACTACATCATCGATTATTCTACAACATTTATCATTTGGACACTTATCATTAACATCTCTATCCACTTTCCTGTTGCAGCCTTTACAAACATAGAACCATTGCTCAATTGTATTATAAATGGTAGTTATTGTTGTCTTAAATGTGCAATAGTGTGTTTGTATATTGGTAAATTATTCTTAGATTTAATTGTATGAATTTTAGAGTAAGTTCTCTAAGATCATACCTCTTTCGAATGTTATAATGGTTGTATGTATTAGTAATTTAAAATTTTTGTTACATTTATAAAGAGGCTTAATGGAGATGCTATTGTCTTGGCAGCTTACTCTAAAAGAGTGTTGCATATTGCTTTAAAATATAATATTTTTTATGGTGTTATATGAACGTTTGCTTGGTTTACTTACTATTCTCTTGTTTCTTCAGTAAGTTATATCTTTGGGTTGATATATATATTATTGATGTAATTTATAATGACATGCATATCTCCTCTATAAATTTGAGACAGATATAAGGTGAATTTTATATTTAGTGGTCTTTAATAATAATTTTAGTAATGAAATAAATTACCTTAATATTTAGAGATCTTAAAATCTAATAGTGTTATTACATCATTATCTTTAATCATGTCTTTAAGAATTGATCATTCGTTAATAGTCATACCCCTAAATAAAGTCATGTGTAGGGTCGTGATACTATATAAGAAAAAGAAAATTGGCGATTTTTTTTTTTTTGCTTACACAGAGTCATGATATAGTAATTTTTCTTTTCTTCCATGACGAATGTTTATTTGATTGGAACAAAGTTGTTCAATATATTCTTCAGGGGGGATTCAGTCGGTGCTTCTTTGATAAATATAACTTATGTTAGTGTTAATTGAAGTAATTCATGGACGTTCTGAATTCCATTTGAAATAAAAACTGTTTGATTCTTTTAAATGATATCTCTAAAATTTTATGATAATTCTCCATACATAAATCTTTGTAATTTTTTACTCTATAAATATTATTATCATTAGAGATCAATAATTATAAATTATAATCAATTAATGATAAGCTATTATATTATAGTATTTTATTAGTTTTTTGTGATTTAGTCTTCTATCAATTAATGATACTTATGTATTTTTGTTGCTCTAACATACTGATAAAATTATATGCAGTTACTTTAATTTAAACAATAACATTAATTTTTAGTCTATCATATATTTTTAAATTTTTTATTCTTTGACTGGATATTTTAATCTGTTATTATTGCTATTTTTTTACCAGCATCAACTTGACTTTTTTTAGATTCTGCAAAAGGATAGTAAACCTTAAATTATAAGTTACATTTATATATCTTAATAAAAGAATATCAAATAATTACTCTTTTCTTTGCAAGTTTTAAAATTTTAGTTTTTTATTTTGTGTAATTTTAAACTTTTGAGAGTATTTTGTCTAATTTTTAAAACTTTTTTACTTTTTTTGTAAGTAATACTTTATGTAATAAACTGATACCATGGAGCTATTTTATATATTTTATTAATCTTATTTAAATTATTAAGATAGAGATAGTTCATAGGGTATTACGATAGAATATAACTATAATTAGATAGATTATAATTTAAATTAAATATTTAAAATAGTTAGGGTAATTTTAACTATGGAAAGTTTTTTCCGAACTCGTGCTTTTAAAGGGAGCATGATTTTTGTTTTTCTTAATTTTTTTTTATAATTTTGAGAATGACTTTTGTCTCTTTAATTTTTTTTGTGGATTTTATAAATATCATATCCACATTATGGACATTTGTAGGTTTGTGCTATTCCTAGGTTTGACCTTTGGGTTGGACATTATTTGTCTTGTTAATTTATTTAGTTTTTGTATATGCACCTTTTATTTTGTAGACATTTATAAATTTAGTATTTAATAATTTCATTTAGATTTACATTTTAATTTAAACTGTATCGTTATCTTCATACTATGTATATCCAATAAGAATTCATCAATTTATTTACTTACTCTTACTTAACGGATTAATATTTGAATTCCAAAGGTATTTTTGTCTACTGAAAGATTTTTCCAAACTCGTACTTTTAAAGAGAGCATGATTAGTGTTTGGGGCATCAAATTATCTAATAACGTAATGGGGATATACAATTGACAAATTACAGAACTTTAAGATGAGGCTATGTTACCCTGACACTTCAATCTAGGTCCCGTACCCGTGTCGGGTACATGTTGGGTGCGGATCCGCACCCAAACGGCGTGGATACGGCAAAATTTCACTCGCGAGCGAAGAAAAAAAACCGCACCTGAAAATTTGAAAGAAAGGCCGAATCGGGCGCTATTTGAGCCCAATAACTCAAGCCCACTTGAAATCAAAGCCGAACGAAGCCGAACAAAGCGATTTCAGCGCCCGATTTCAGCGATTCTGAAGCGATTCTGCCTCGACGACGAAATCAAAGCCGAACGAAGCAATTTCAGCGCCCGATTTCAGCGCCTCGACGAAAGCCAACGACGAAATCAAAGCCTTGACGAAGCAATTTCAGCCCCTCGACAACGAATCCTCTCCTCGACGACGAGATCGACGGAGGACTGAAGCTTGGACGAGCTCCGACAGAGGATTGAGGCTTGGACGAGCTTCGAGGGTCTTGTGAGGGGCCATCGATGGAGGACTGGCTTTGGGTTCGCGAGGAGAAATGGGAAGAGGCGACGAAGATGAAAACCCTAGGGGGAAGTTACGGTTTTATATGGGGGAGGGGTTTGGGTTTGGATTCGGGTTTGGGTTTTTTTCTTCACTTGTTTTTTATATGGAGTGGGGTTTGGGTTTGGGTTTTATATAGGGGGAGGGGTTTGGGTTTGGGTTTTATGTGGGGAGGGGTTTGGGTTTGGGTTTATATAAGTAATAATATTAGTTCTAAATTTTTAAATAAAATAAAAATAGCTTTCTATTTCTTAGAATTGTTAAATAAAATAAAAATAGATTGTCATATTTTAGGGTATATTTGCAAATGTAATAGGTATTTAATTCAACACTGATCTAAAGTGAATTATTTTATATATATACAGCCGTGTCCTCGTACCCTACTTTTTACAAATTTGTTGTGTCCCGTACCCGTACCCGTACCCGTACCTAGGTAACATAGAGATGAGGTATTGAAATGCAAATAACCCTAAAATAAAAGAAAATTGCGCCAACAAACAAACGATGAACCAAATCCTAATTCAGTTTCATACTAGTCGTTTGAATCAAAAGTTAGGGTTTTAAGTTGAACCTCTAAGGAGCTACAGACACCGCTGCTGAATCCTCCGTTGTTGAGAAAGCTCTCACCGCCGCTGCTCGTCGCTGTATCAAGTCTAGGGTATTGGGGGCGAGAGTCGAGGGTTTTTGGCGAGGAGGAGCCGCATGTTTTTTTTTTACCCCTCAGAGAATCGCTCTACTAGGGCTATGCAAACGGTCGGTCAGTTTGGATTTTATCAAATTTTGAGCAACCGAACCGAACCACCCATTATTCAAAACCGAACTAAACTGTTGCAAGTTAGTTCGGTGTGGTTCGGTTCGGTTTGTTTGGTTCTAATCAAGATGTATTATAAATTCAAGAATAGGTTTGTGACAAACATCAAACTTCATCAGCATTACCTTATACGTTTATGAGTACAAGGCTTTAAATCTTGTTCAGTGCTCTCTAGAATACAACTGAAGCTATAGTTGTAATTTAATGTGCAAAACACAATTGTAGTCGCCATCCATTGACAGACTCTACGTAGATCTTTACCATATCGACATGCTATATTCAGTCAATGCTCGATATAAGATCTTCAGATTTAACCATTTATCATTTAGAACATCCAATCTACCATCTACAATTCAACATTGTAGCTTCACCAAAATATTCGGATTGATTACTTCAAAGATCCTGACCATGGCATATCACCTAACATAGATTCAAATTACTCATACTCGATACAAGGAGAAACAAAGAACTGCAGCAGATCAGATGATCACCACAAACACGCCTATTTTATTTTTTGTTTTCCCCTATTAGAGGACTTTGCTGTTTGTGATTAGCATCACTTGCAAGGAAACAACCTTGAACATTTTGACTTGAAGGGAAATTCATGGCCATGGACTTCACAGATTAATATTGTAGCAGAAACTTATCTAGTAATCAAATTTTAAACACAAACAACTCAACATAACTCTCCTCTCATTCCCATAACATAAAACTCTCAATCAAACAATTTAGGTTGCATTTTATACCCTATGAAGTAAACTCCCCATTTTAAGATTTTGCACTCTAATATCTTGATCCCTTGTGGAACACCCAAAAGTATTTCTTCGTTGATAGCAAGTATTTGTTAGCTTCTTCAAACTGTTCTCTCATGTTCTTTCCAGTGTTATCTACATTCAGGTTCTGCAGTGACCCATTCATGCACGTTGTATTAATTACAGGTTTTTTCTGCTGTTATGAACTTGATTTGTGTACTCTTTTGGAGCATAATTGACATCTAATGAACCTACAGTGAGCTAATTCAGCTGATTTTTGGGGATATGTAGTCACACATTTTAGACTTTATTTTTTAACAGTGAGCTAATTCAGCTGATTTTTGGGGATATGTAGTCACACATTTTAGACTTTATTTTTTAACAAACTGATCTTCCTGTTTGAAGGTATTATGAGGATATGTAGTCACACATTTTAGACTTTATTTTTTAACAAACTGATCTTCCTGTTTGAAGGTATTATGAGAGTCCGCAAGGAGAACGAGTCACTAAAACGGCAGGAGCAAGGCTCAGAATCATGACAGTCTTCACAGCAATAAGGTATTATAGATCGACAATAAGGTATTCACCAAAACAATAGTGTCAAGGGAGATGTGCGAGTTGGAATTATACTTGAAAAGAAATAGACTTGCACAAACCTAATGAAAGATACATTTTAGAAATGCATCGTAATCAAGTATACACTAAATAAAAAGAACAGAATTCTCAATAAAATGAAAAATTTGTACCTTTGAGATGAGACAAGCACTCCTTAATTAAGTCCTAAGAAAAAACAACTCAAGACAGAGAAATAACACCCATAAGATTGCATGACAATAAAAAATTGCATATGTTAGAAGCAAAACCTTTCTTATGCTAGAAGGCAAATGGATGTGAATCTACCTACATTTTTTAATTTTCCCAAGTTTCAGCAATAACAGAAAATTTGGTTTGCTCACAAATTAGTTGGGTTCAAGAGAACAACAGACGCAAAAAATGAGTAGCACTGAGATACATAGACACCAATCATGAAACAACTGTCCTTGAACAAATTAATAAGAAAATTACATATAGAGCTATTCTTATGGAAAGAGGTGCCTGCTTCGGGTAGCAGCAAATGAGCTTCATATGAGCTATTCTTATTATAAATTTATAAGAAAATTAACAAATTAACAATTCCATAATAAAAATGGAAAAACAAGGAGCTAAAGAGCTAATATTTTTTATGTCCTTGAACATGTTTCAAAATCAGTTCTTGCTTTATCATTAATGGTGAAGATACCTGACCCCCGCCTGGCATGTGACACTAGTTGTGACTCAAGGGCCTGTTTGGCAATTACATATAGAATACAGGGTAAGGATCAGTAAGGATCAGTGTTACATTAAACGTTGGGCGCTCCTAGGCGCCGGACTTGGCGCCCAGCGCTTAGACACCTAGGCGGGCGTCTAAACGGTTTCTGGACGGTTTTTTTCTTTTTTCTATTTTTAATTGCGATACTTGAAGATAAATAAATATATACTCAATCAAAAATGCTCACTGACTTTGTTTTTCTTTTTTTACCGATTATACTTAGTTAAGTAGCAAGCTGCAAGGATGAAGGATCAATCAAATTTCCCAATACAACTACCAAATTAAATATCGATAATTCATTCATTAAATATGTATATTCATATTGTATTCCTATTTTCAAAATTGTGAAGTGTGAAGAGTGAACAGAAGAAAAAATTAAAGAAAAAAAAAGAAGTGTGAACGGCAAAAAGGGATTAACCAGAAGCAGGTACCTAGTTTTTAACTCAATATCTGCACTGAGAAAAAAGGGAACCTTTTCTAACATTTAAAAGAGGTAAAACTATCTTTCCCCATATATTCAAAGATACACGAATCATGATATTGGACTCAAAAGGGAACAAGCTGCTGATAAACCCAAAAAACTTGACTAATGAATTCAGTGAGCATCCCAAAAAAACAGAAGCAGCAAACTAACATGACTAATGAATTCGGTGAGCTAATTTGATATGTTAGAGCTAGTATTTAGCTTTTCTTAACAGACTTATTTACATTATGCCTTTCCATCAAACACATCATAAGTTTCAAGTTATTAATCTTTCTTGATTTGCCCATTTACACCATTGTTTAATGTCTGTTCTGTTCATCTTAATTACACGGATGATCTAAAAACACCAAAACCATATTAATGTTAAGTTGTTAACCTTTAAACCAAAAGACTTGAAATCAAAGGTCATCACTGTAGTCTGAAATAGTAAAATGATAAATAAAATAAGAAAATAACATTAAATCCTTTACCTTGTTACAGGGATGAAGCAGACTCCCAAAGGCTTCGAGAATCGAGAGGCTTCGACGAGTTCGAGCTTCGACGAGGAACAGATCGGAGGTTGAAGACGAGCTCAGAGGTTGAAGACAAAGCTCGGAGGTTGAAGACGAAGCTCCGACGAGTTCGAAGACGAGGTTGAAGCTCGGAGGTTGAAGACGAAGCTTCGACGAGTTCGAAACGAGGTTGAAGCTCGGATGTTGAAGATCGAAGACGAGGTTGAAGACGAGCTCGAGCTTCGACGAAGATGAAGACAGTTCGACGAGGTTGAAGATGAGTTCGGTCGATGGAAATTTCTTGCGGCGTCGGGTGAGTGAGAAATGAGAATTAGGGTTACGTAGGTTTTGGGTTTGGGTTTTTGGTTTTTGGGTTTGGGTTTTGGGTGTTGGGTTTGGGGTCTGGGGCTTTAAGCGTTTTTTTTTTTTTTTTCCTTTTAAAGTGACCAAGGATTGCAAACGTAGCAGGAAAATTGGAGAGTTACCGATGTGGAAAACCAGTTTGTTTGCTTGAATGGAAGTAGGAAAGCAGAAATGTTGAAGTGGTGAATATTCAGAAAATTATCCTAAACCTGCAAGTTTAGAAAGTGAGACGTGAACACTAGCAAAACAGCAATGCATTTGATCTGTGGTCGCTTTATTGGCCTTTTCACATTTCAATGTTAAACTGAAAATGATTAGATACCAAATATGGAGTTTGTAAGTGACTATGTGCATGTGTACTTTTCCTCCCTCCCTCCCTTCCTCATGAATCTGATGATATTTAGTGTATGCCTATAAGCTACGCCATGGTAGAAATCATAGCACATGATCACCGCCAGTAGAATATTCTTAACCCAGCACATGTGATTAAAATACAACAGCAGTTATTAATTGACAAAGCGCTCATCTTGACTAAGGTAGGAAGATCCCCAAAAACCAACCAAAAAAATTTAAAAATTAAAAAACAGCAAAAATTGAAATCATACATTGAATCTCAATCAGAAACTGCAGAAGTTTGAGGAGAGCAACCGAAAGAGAGGAGAAAACAAGCTACAAAAGAGAAAAGTTAAGTCAGAGCCGATCTAGGGTTTCGATGGAAGGGGGAGAGAGAGGAGTAAAGGGGGAGACCGAAACCGAGAGAGGAGAAGGGGAGAGAGGAGAGATACCTGCGATGGATCGAGATCGAGATCGAGCTTGAGCTTTGAGATCGAGATCGTCGGGACTTTGACACGAGCGTGAGAGTGGAGGAAAAGAGGAGTCGGGGTTTTGAGGGGTTGGATTTCGTGGGGTGAGGATTTGGCAAATACCAAGTAGTGTGCCCAAATTTAAAATCCATACTTTTGGGCTTTTCAAATTCATGTTAACTCTAATATTAGTCCAAAAATATCCATGTTAAGTCTATAATAGTCCATGTTAAGTCTACTATAACAGTTCATGTTAACTCTAATATTAGTTTATGTTAAGTCTAATTTAACTTGTACATTTGAATTTTTTTTTTTAGGAAAAAAGTAGGTGATGCTTTTCAAATAAGGCCAATTGCCATTATGGGGGCTTATTATGAATTTATGAAGCGTCTTACCCTAAAGATATGTCAGTGGCATAGGGATGCATATTGTGGAACTATATTTTAGCACTATATTATTCTATTTGGAGCTCATGCACTTGATCGTCCAATACTTGAGCTAGTGCTGAGCTATTATGATGTTGATAATAACACATTTTCTATCACTGATAAAAAAACTAGGGAAATAAAAATTCTTAACTTTGAGTTAGATTGGATCCATAATCATACTTTTTTCCCAATTGACGGGAAAATCATTTGTACCAATCAGGACTTCAAATGCAGAATATGGGTGGAATATTTTGCTAACCTTTTCAAAACTGAAGAGGAGGGGGGAGGAATGTAAAAAAAAGGAAAAGCACCAATTACCCTTCGAAAATATCTTGAAGATCTACTAGAAAGTCTTGTGGAATCAAAAGAAAAGAAGGATATTCAAGACTTTGTTCTGCTATAAATTCTTTATCAGTGCTCGATGTTGTGGTGCCCCAGAAGTGGGGAAGGTATCTTGAAGAGGAGGGGGGAGGAATGTAAAAAAAAAGGAAAAGCACCAATTACCCTTCGAAGATATCTTGAAGATCTACTAGAAAGTCTTGTGGAATCAAAAGAAAAGAAGGATATCCAAGACTTTGTTCTGCTATAAATTCTTTATCAGTGCTCGATGTTGTGGTGCCCCAGAAGTGGGGAAGGTATCCCTAGACTATTATTCAAGTACGTGGATAGCATTGAGAGGGTGAAAAGAGTTGCATGTGGTCAATTCATTTATACAGAAATTATTAGAGGCATTAAAGTTGTTGTGGAGGGCTTGAAGAAGCCAGTGGTTACATATGTCCCTGGATGCATGCCACTAATACCCGTAAGTTTCATGTTAAGTCTATTTTGATTCATGTTATGTCTAATTAGTTCATGTTAATCCTAAATCACTTAATGTTCTGTGTAAGTCTAATTCCAGTTCATGTTAAGTCCCTATTAAGTTCATGTTAAGTCTAATTACATTTCATGTTAGGTCTAATTACAGTTCGTGTTAAGTCTAATTTCATGTTAAGTCCAACTTGATTCATGTTAGATCTAATATCAGTTCATGTTTATGTCTAAATTCAGTTCATGTTATGTCTAATTTTAGTTCGTATTAAGTCTAATTTTCAGTTCATGTTAAGTCTAAATTCAGTTCATGTTATGTCTAATTTCAGTTTATGTTAAGTCTAAATTTAGTTCATGTTAAGTCTAATATCAGTTCATGTTAGGTCCAATTTTAGTCCATGTTAAGTCTAAATTCAGTTCATGTTAAGTCTATTTTAATGTTAATTCCAACTTGATTCATGTTAAGTATAATTTTATTTCATGTTAAGTCTAAATTTAGTTCATATTAAGTCTAATATCAGTTCGTGTTAAGTCTAGATTCAGTTTATGTTAAGTCTAATTGCAGTTCGTGTTAGGTCTAATTGTTTTAAAGTTAATGTTAAATGTGAATATAGTCAATTTGTAATTCTTAGAATGGTGATTGTATTTTTTTATAGCTTTGGTACTGCGAGATGACTGGCATAAAGAAATATGCCTATAGTGACAGATTCAGGCCTCTAATGATAAATTGGGTAGTAGAGGGTATGAAAGCAAGTTCTTTGAAGAAGGTGACAATTACACGAAAGGCAAAAGGAGCTTCAATAACGTTAGTTCAGAGGCCTATTGTGGAAGTTGGGTTTGGTCCCTCAAAATACGCAGCAAAGAAGCATCATGAGAGGATTGATGAGGGCTCAAGTCCCAGAAGTGGCATACTGCCACCCCCAGTACCGAGGAAAGAAGTTGTGCCTCATAAGCATAGACCAAAGAGAAAGGCGAAGAATGAGGAAGCCAAGACGAATTACTCAATATGCTATGTAAGTATCTTGTTAAGTATAGATCTATTTCTTGTTAAGTCTAACTTTAGTTCCTATTAAGTCTAATATCGTGTTATGCCCAATTTAATTCATGTTAAGTCTAACCTCGATTCTTGTTAAGTCTATATCAGTTCATGATAAGTTCAATTTAATTAATGTTAAGTCTAGTTTATTTCCTGTTAAGTCTAATTCTATTTATATTAAGTCTAACTTATTTCATGTTAATTGTAAACAATTTCCATGTTATGTCTAATCCTAATTTCTATTAATCTCTTAAAAATCTCAGATCATTGAAAAGCATATTGATGATTCTTTTGAAAAGGAAGATGAGGTGGAGGCTCTACCTATTGATAAGTAACTTATTTTTTGGAGAAATTCTGCTAAATTTTGCAGACGATTACTCTCTGCCACAAAACGTAGGAAGAGTATATATTGTAAAAAATTCATGATTGAGATTAACAGACTCAACAAAATAGTGGAAGCTTTTGAAAGAAGTGATGATGTTATAGACCCGGTGATGCTGAAGGAAAATATTAAGAAGAAAATTGCAAAAAAATAGTAATTTGAAACCACGGGCAGCTGAGGAGGAACATAGGAATAAAGTCGAGGAGGAAGTTGTACAAGATTCTTTAGGATAGAATGAAGATGAGATTGGGAAAGAAGTTGAGGAGGAAGTTGTACATAAGAATAAAGTTAAGGAGGAAGAACCCAAGAAGAATAAGTTGAGGAGGAAATATCCATTGAGGGGGCAGTTGAGGAGGAAGTTCAATTTGAAGACAGAGTAAGTTCTGGAGGTGATTTTGGAGTAGAGGATTTGCAGGCCGAGGAGAAAGTGGCCACAAAGGATGCAATTGACCAGGTGGATAAGATTGTGGAAGACCTAACGAGTTTAGTTCATGTTAAATCTAAATTTCAGTCCATGTTAAGTCTAAAACCAGTTTATGTTAGGTCTATTAACAAATTCGTGTTAAGTCTAGTTTCAATTCATGTTAAGTCCAAATTTCAATTCATGTTGAGTCTAAAACTAGTTCATGTTAGGTCTAATTATAGTTCATGTTAGGTCTAATAACAGATTCTTGTTAAGACTAATTTTAGTTCATGTTAAATTTAAATTCATTTCATGTTAAGTCTAATACCAGTTCATGTTAGGTCTAATTATAATTCATGTTAGGTCTAAAACCAGTTCGTGTTAAGTCTAATTTTAGTTCATGTTAAGTCTAGAACCAGTTCATGTTAAGTCTAATCACAGTTCATGTTGAGTCTAAAACCAGTTCGTGTTAGGCCTAATTACAGTTCATGTTATGTCTAATAGCAGTTCGTGTTAAGTCTAAATCCAGTTCGTGTTAAGTCTAAATCCAGTTCATGTTAAGTCTACATTCGGTTCATGTTAAATCTAAAAGCTATCCATGTTAGGTCTAATAGCAGTTCATGTTAGGTCTATTAACAAATTCATGTTAAGACTAAGTTCAGTTCATGTTAAGTCCAAATTTCATTCCATGTTAAGTCTAAAACCAGTTCTTGTTAGGTCTAATTACAGTTCATGTTAGGTCTATTAACAGATTCATGTTGAGTCTAATTTCAATTCATGTTACGTCCAAATTTCAGTTCATGTTAAGTCTAAAACCAGTTCATGTTAGGTCTAATTATAGTTCCTGTTATGTGTAATAACAGTTCATGTTAAATCTAACTTCAGTTCATGTTATGTCTAATAGTAGTTCGTGTTAAGCCTAATTTCAGTTCATGTTAAGTCTAAAATCAGTTCATGTTAAGTCTAATTACAGTTCATGTTAGGTCTAATTACAATTCATGTTAGGTCTAAAACCAGTTTGTGTTAAGTCTAATTTCAGTTCATGTTAAGTCTAAATTTTAGTTCATGTTAAGTGTAAAAGAAGTTCATGTTTAGTCCAAATTTCAGTTCATGTTAGGTCTAAAACTAGTTCGTGTTAGGTCTAATTATAGTTGTTAGGTTTAATTTCAGTTCATGTTAA